GGAGACGTACAGGCCGATTGCGCAGCTGCCTGTGTAGTTGCTCGGGACACCAATGCGGTGGCGAAAGTCGCAGGGGACGATGGCCTTGACGGTCTGCGCCCGGCGGGTGAGCAGGTGCTTGGTGTGTGCGAAGGCGAGGGTGAAGAGCGCGGTGATGATATCATGATCAGAAACACGAGAGGACGGGTCGATGCGGGTGGCTGTATCGCGCAGACGGTCCAGGGTGTGTCGGGGGACGGAGAAGAGATGGCTCTCGATCTCGTCCGGGGGGGTTTTGTCGCCGAGGAAGCGTTTATAGAGTCCGAGGAAGAGGACCACTAGCGTTGATAATAGCCCTAGCAGCCATGATGCCGGATGCCACATCGAGCGAGGAGGAGCTGGCCGTGCATCCGCAGGAAGGTACTCGTACATCACCCGACGGTCCATCAGCAGACGAGGCCTGCTCTCGCCCTCGGGGTGACTGTGGTTCCTGGCAAACCATCCCCAGGACTGCACAAAGTCCACAAACCCCTTGGCGTCCACCGCGCAATGGGCTATCCGCACCACCATCACCACGCCACTCTCCTCAGCCAGCCGATGGACATGCACCTGGATCAATTCTCCGTTGGGGGACGCACGCGGATCAACGACATTGGCGTCTTTGGGCCACACATCGCGATGGAACCCGTTGCCCTTCAGATGCCGGAAGTGAAGGTGCGGGTGAGTCTGCTCTTGGTAGAGCGGGAGGTTTAGATTATCGCGGTCAACAACAATCTGCATCGCATTGCGGCCGTGACGGCGCACATGGCCGAGAAGAATTGGGAAGTTCTGCAGGGCACGATACAATGACTCCTTGAGGAGGGAGGATTGCATGAATGGCCCGGGGCCGGGGCTTTTGTTCTCGTAGAAAAAAACATTGGTGATGTAGAGGTGACTGGGGATGATGTCAAGGGGAGAAAGATCATAGACGTGGTTTGATATGTTGAGGAGGTCTTGCATCTTGTTTTCATTGCTGCACTTTCGCTATAGCTCTGGTGGGAGAATGATATAATACAGCCGAAATTCCAAATACAAGACCAGTCCATTCACTGCTGTATTCTTTTTGTATTCTTAGCAGCTATCTTCTCTTCATTGGGTTCGGCTCGTATTCCCCCTCATCTAGACTGACCCACTGACTAGACTCCTTGCTTCTTGGCCTGCTTGATTTACACAAGCTGCAGCAGCGTAATGACTTCTGTAAATTACTGTTTGAGATCCTCAGAATGACAATCGTTGATTGATTTAATCTATTGGGTCTGGCCCCTGTGGCGAAGGTTACACCACATTGCAGATTGAGGATCCTAAGAAAGACAATCGTTGATTGATCCATTGGGTCTTGGCCCTGTGGCGAAGGTTACATCGCATCGCAAATTGCATACTTGGCTTCAACTTATACGAGGTGAGCTAAAGAACAACTAACCAAGACTCGGCACATCTGTATCAGTTACTGCCTGTGAGACACGACCAACCGACAATCCCGCTCTGGATACTTGGGCGTGGTGAACAGCGCACTGCGCGTGGGCATGATCCTCGGCCTCCCCAGGGCATCCACATTCCACGGCCCATGCACACTGTCCTCGGGCAGTGCAATGTCATACTCCTTGAGGAGATTCGCAATGATAATCATAATCTCCATCATCGCGAGATTCCGCCCAATGCAGTTGCGGTGTCCGTAGGAAAAGGCAAATACATTGCGCTTGGCCTGCTCATCGCCTAGAAACCGCGTGGGGTCATAGAGATGCGGATTTGTCCACACGTCTTTGTTGATGTGCGCCCCATGGAGGTTGATAGCAACCTCCACCCCTGGGGGAATGTAGTGACCCTGGATGGTGAGGCCTTTTGTGTAGGAGACGCGAGGCAAAAATCCCGAGGTGATCGGGGAGTACCGCAGGGTTTCGTAGACGCACGCCTCCAGATAGGGGAGGTTGTCGCGGCACTCGGCGAAAGTGATCAGATGGGAGGGCGAGAACTGGCTGCGGACCTCCTCGGTGACTTTGGCCAGGTGCTGAGGATACAGCGTCAGGAGATGGATCACCCAAGAGGTCACAAAGGAGGTGGACTCGCTGCCCGCGAGCTGCATCGCGATGCTTTCCGTCATCACCTCGTCCGCCGTCATCTTCACGCGGGGATTCTCTGGGTCTTCCGCATCGATGAATGCCTGCAGGAGATCCATCGGTCCTTTTTCTGCAGAGGATAACAGATTCTTTCGCCTCGTCACCGATTCCTTGCTATAAGCAATAAACCGCTCGTACCGCTCGCGATACTGGCGCAACACCCTGGAAAATGGCCACACCTTGAGGAGAGGGAAATTCTTCCGAATCCCCAGGTACAGCCCGGTGGCCTCAATCCACCGGATAACCGTCTGATCATCATTCTTCAGCGCATTGAACTCCCTGCCAAACGCCAGGGCCCCGATCGTATCAAACGTCGCATACTGCGTATGATCGCGGTAGTTGACCGTAATGTGCTCTCCGCGACTCTCCTCCAACAGTCTATCCCACTTGTTTTTAATGGCAAGCACGCTGTACTTCATAATCAACCCCTCCATGCGCCCCAGATACCCATGGTTCAGATACGGGCCGATCTGGCGTCGTCGACGACTCGCCTGCGTGGGGTCCCGCGTGGTGAAGATGCTTGCGTGCCCTTCAATGTCGAGCATCTCGTAGACCTTTGTCTTGCGGAATTCCGGCGACAGCAGCACGGTGCGGATGTCGTCGGGGTGGCTGATGCTGACGCCATTGGGGCGATGGACGTAGATGTTCCCGTAGCGCTGGTAGTCGGCTTGGACGGACCGGGGGCCGTCAGAGAGGACTCGCTTGAGGATGGAGTATTTACTGGAGAGGCGGGCTAGGAGAGAGCCGGGGATATGGCGAAGGGGGGAGAAGAAGAGCTCGTAGGTAATTCTCCAGATGAGAGTGAGGAGTAGAACGAGGGGGATGAAACGGAGGATTTCTATCATTTTGCAGTTTGATAGGTCAGATGCGGTCTGTGGGAGGAATAAAGAGGTGCGGGGAGGAGAAAGATATTAATACGGAGGAGAGATTTAGGGCACACTTGTTAAATGTGCTAACATTGCATTGATTACCCGTACTAGAATATATATCTTCAAAATGGATAATCGAGTCAAACTGCTATGCAGTCCTACCAAATCATCTCTACCAGCTCATTCCAGTACTTATTCTTCTTGATCCCCTGCATAGCCTCTACGTTACTCGTCAGAAGTACATACACCCCTCCGTCCCTCCCGTCTGGCGTCGGCAAAACCGCCGCCATGGTATAGCTCCCCGCAAACACCGGCGTTAAACACACAAAGCACGGCCTGCCACCGCCAAAATCCGCCTCGTACATCGGGAACCGCACCTGGCTTGTCGCCACAAGCGAGGTCGTCGTGCGCGTCGCTGTGAATGCCAACGGCCGCATATGGCTCGTGGGATTCGCCCGGATCAGGTCATGGTACGCGGCCACCAGACCCGGCTGCACGCGCTCGATCGACTGCCGGACATTCAGCGCAGCCGCCGCAAGAGTCTCTGAGGAGGTCGGACGAGCGAGCTCAGTGAGCGGCGTCCGTACCATCATCCCCAGGAGGAGATTCCCGGTGTATGTCTCCCGCACATTCAGATGGCGGCGGATATCGCAGGGGACGCGCACCGTGCAGTGGGTTTCGGGTTGTCCCTGGCGAGGGCGGAGCCTGCTCAGAAGACCCGTGGGAGGCTCCGGCTGGGGCTGGCTTTGGATGTAGGTTTTGCTGATGAGCGCAACGAGCAGGTCGTTGTCCGAGAGGCGGGTGCTGGCGGGGATATAAGGCTGCACCGCTTTGTGGACCTGGTCGAGAGAGGCTCGAGAGATACGAAATAGATGAGCCTCACCCCGTGCCATGCCGGCAGTCTTGGAGAGTAGACCTCCCAGCGTCGTCGGGGAGAGCCATGCAAGCCAGTCGACGAGCAGATTCCGCTGACCGTAGATCGACTGCGTGAGGGGATCCAACGGAGTTCGCTCCGCAGGCAAGTACCTCTGAATGATGCTACGATCAAAGCTGAATTCACATTTAGACTCCTCCTGCTGCTGCTGCTGCATCCTCATCGTCTCCGCCCAGTGATTGATAAAAGCAAAATATCCCACCCCGTCCACCACGTAGTGGGGGATGTTGATGAAGAGAATCACTCCGCTGTTCTGTGCTAGTCGCATTACATGGATATTCAGCAGCTTGATTTCCCCATCCGCCGCAGCAGTGGCTACAGGTCCCACGGTCGCGACGCCCGCCGGCCACGCATCCCAGGCAAAACTGGCCTCCTTGAGCTGCGACCAGTGGACGGCGTCGCAGAGCGTCTCCCGGATCTCGGGCTGGTTGGGGTTATCTGCGTCGACCTCGACGACGATGTGCCCGGTGCTCCTGGCTCGCAGACGGCCGGTCAGGATGGGGAACTGCTTGAGACTAGCCCATAACGAGCCCTTGAGGAGATCAAAGGGCATAAAGTCATTTTCAGACTGCTTGTTCTCGTAGAAGAAGGCGTAGGGGATGTTGGAGAAGGAGCCTTGTAGGTCGAACGGGGAGAGGGGGATTGACTCCATGGTGACAGGGCACTCTTCATTCATTGAGAGACACAAGCTGAAATAGGCATCAATGTTCGCAACATCTAGCAGTCAGGTCTCTGGAACTGCCTTTGGTAAATTGATGAAAGCAACCAAGGCGGCCCACCTTCGTGTAGCATTGTCTCGCTGTTGCATGAATACGAATATCACCAAGACCCGTTCTTTTACCCGAAAGGTACTTGTGTATTGCTCTTCAAGCGCTAGCTCCGAACCCGTATATGCAGCCAAGCCAGGCTAGACCTCGCTTAGGGCCTGTGCTCGTATCCGCCAGTAATTTACAGTTTATACTCCGCAGACAACATTTGCAGAATGAGGTTAAGGTAGCATTCCGTTCAGATAGCCACATTTCTTGTTTGTCGATCCCTACGCTAAAACTGCAGACTGCAAATACATCACTCTGTAATTCTCGCCGACAATACCATTCGACAATCCCTCTCAGGATCTGCAGGCATGGTGGCCACCCCCATCTTCGTGGGCATTATCTTCGGCCTCCCGCTGCATCGACGATAGTGGGCCCAAAGTGACTATCCTCAGGTAACTCCACCTCGTAATCCTTGAATAGATTGGCTAGCGTCACCATCATCACCGCCCAGGCCAGATTCCGGCCAATGCAGAACCGCGTTCCGTACGCAAACGAGAGCATATTCCGCCGGGTTTCGTGGTATGTCTCCTGTTTGAGGAAACGCGGAGGATAAAACCGGTCTGGATCCTCCCAGGAGGGCCGGTGCAGATGGGCCGCGCACTTGTTAGTGGCGATTTCTGTGCCCGCAGGGATGTAGTAACCCTTCAGGGTGATGGGCTGGTCTGAGACACGGGGAAGGAGGTGCTCGCCGTCGGGATACAACGCAGAGTCTCATAGATGCAGGCCTCGAGATAGGGGAGTTTGGCCTTGCTCTCGTTGAATGTGATGATGTGATCCGCGGCGAAGTTGGCGCGAGTCTCGGCCACAACCGCTTGGAGATGCTCCGGGTAGAGCAGGAGAAAGTGAATCACCCAGGAGATAACAGAGGAGGTCGACTCGCTGCCTCCAACCAGCATGGCGATGCTCTCCGCCTGCACCTCGCGCGCGGTCATAGGGGCCTTGGAGTCTGGATCTTCCGCGTCGAGGAGCGCCTGCAGCAGGTCCGCTGGCTTCGGACGCCCCGCCTGCAGGTCTGCCTGGCGGATGGCAATCGACTCCTGGCTAAAGGCCACCAGGTCATCGTATGACTGTTTGAGACCCCTCACCAACCAGGACAATGGGACCCGCTTGACCCACGGGAAGTAGTGGCTCACTAGCATGTAGGACAGCGTATTGTTGACCCATTTTGTATAGACAAGATTGCTAGTCTCCAGGGCGTGGAACTCGCGCCCAAACACGAGCGCGCCAGTGATGTCAAACATGGCCAGTTGGGTATCGTACCGGTAATTCACCTCCACCTTCTTGCGGTTCGCCAGCAGGGCATCCCAGCGCGCTTTGAGAGCCTGGACCCCGTATTGCAGCATGATTGGCTCCATCTGTGTCAGATACGCATTGTTGAAGAATGGGTGCAGTTGTCGCCGACGGCGCTGCGCCTCGGCCGGATCAGTAAAGGTGGAGACGTTCGGGATGCCCTCGTATTCAAACACCCGGTACATGTCCGTTTTGCGAAATGCGTGCGAGCTGAGCACCGTACAGGTATCGTGGGGGTCGCACAGGTACACTGTGTTGGGCTTGCAGAGGTAGATGTCCCCATAAGTGGAATAGTCCTTGCGCGCTGCGGTTTCCGCCTTGCCGGTGAGAAGATGCCAGAGGGGCGTTTCGATGACACCCGAGCCATGAACGGGGCGGGGATATGGCGGAGGGGGAGAGGAACAGAGCATGGATGAGCAGGTAGCAAAGCCGGAGGGCGAGGACAGCGAAAAGGATGGAGATGAGGCTGGCGGCGGCCATTGTGTCATGAAGTGACTGACTGACTGGACTGACTAGCACTGAGCAGAGTGTTGTAAAAGGGAACAGGGAAGACAGAATACTGAGTGAGAGAAGTAGTTAGGAACAGTTCGATAGCAGACGACTCTTAAGAGGTCATTAACCTAGGTCACATTGGGTGGCCTCGGTAAGCTTTTGTATAAAACACGGTTTGAAACAAGTCGTACTATCTGTAATTATTATTCCAGTTTGTTCTTTCATTCTCTCTTCCACCACATCCCACCTCCTGTTCATAGTATCAAGCTCAGACCGACCATGAACACAGCCATCGTCACCGGCGCCGCCCAAGGCGTGGGCCTCTGCATCGCTGAAGCCCTCGCCCAGCGCAACTATCGCATCGTGCTCAGCGACATCGACACCGAAAAGGGCCCCGCCGCCGCCTCCCAGCTCAACCTCACCCACGGCGAGGGCACCGCCGCCTTCTTCCCCTGCGATCTCTCCAATCTACGAGACATTGACGCCCTCCTCTCATTTACCATCGAGACCATGGGCGGGTTTTCCGTGCTGATTAACAACGCGGGTACCTCCGCGCGCCGTTCCTTGCGCTCTCCGCGCAGGACATCCAGGATATGATCACCGTCAATCTGACGGCGCCCATCTACGCAACCCAGCAGGCTATCAAGTACTGGGATGAGCATGACCAGGGCCAGACCGGGTGCGTGGTCAGCGTGACCTCCTCGTCGTCGTTCAAGACGTATGCGAGCATCGCACCGTACGGGGCGGCCAAGGCCGGCGCTGCCATGTTTACCTTTGCGGCTGGGGCGTTTCATCCGCGCGTGAGGGTGAATGCGGTGGCGCCGACGGCAATTGCGACGGCGTTTGACAAGAATCGCATGCGGGTGGAGACGGACCGTACGGGGCCGGGGTATACGCCCGAGGAGGAGATGCGGGCGATGGGGTTGAAGAGGTTGCAGCCGGAGCAAGTGGCGGACGCGGTGCTGCGGTGTGTGGAGGATGAGGGGCTGTATGGGAAGGTCCTGTACCTGGATGCGGTGGAGGGGATCAAAATACATGATGGATATACGTAGATTAACCTATTTGTCTTCGCGTCATATTCAAATTACTCTAGGTCTTTGGCCGGCTTATCATTAATTGACAGTCTCGGTCCGGATGCGTAGGCGCAAACACTATATGGCACTTGGACGGCATGCGAATGGGGATCCCCCGCTCGTCTACATGATGCGGTCCGTACAGACTGTCTTCTGGTAAACTCCAATCGTAGTCCTTTAGCAGATTCGCCAGAATAGTCATCATCTCCATCCATGCCAGATGGCGCCCTATACAGCTGCGCGTCCCATACGAAAAGGCAAAGACACTCCGCTTCAGATCGGGATTCTTGATGAACCGGTCCGGCAGGAACCTCTCTGGTTCCTCCCAGACGTCCTCGCGGTTATTCATGGCGATGAGGTTGAATGCAATCTCGGTGCCCGGGGGATATAGTGCCCCTGCAAGGTGGTCCCATTGCTGAAGGAAACCCGAGGCATGAAACTCGATGTAATGGGCGTGTACCGCAGCATCTCATAGACAAAAGCCTCGAGGAAGACCAGCCGATTACAGTCTGCATAGGTTATCAAATGGTCAGGACCAAACTGCCCACGCACCTCATCCACAGCCATCCGATAATACTCGGGATACAAGGTAAATAAATGCACCGCCCAGGTCAGCGAGGCGGCCGTCGTCTCACTCCCAGCCAGTTGCATGCCCACGCTCTCGGCCTGCACCTCCACGGCCGTCATCTTGACCTTGGAGTCGGGGTCTTCTGCATCAATAAATGCCTGGAGCAAATCGACGGGCTTCTGGCATCCTTGTGCCAGCAGCTCCTTTCGACTGGCCACTGCGTGCTTGCTGAATTGAACAAACTCCGCATATGCCCTGGTCCAGCGCCGCACCAGCCGCGAGAAAGGAAACACCATAAGCAGCCGGAAATTGATCCGCACGCCGATGTAGACGGCTGTCGCCATGATCCATTCCACGATCGCCACACTTTCCCCTTCTTCCTTCAGCGAGTCCAGCCGCCGGCCAAATGCCAGCGCACTCATAATATCAAAGGTGACCAGCTGCAGGTCGTGGCGGTAGTTCACCTTGACTGCTTTCCCGGGGCCATGGCCATGTTGAGCAATCAATCGATCCCACTTGTCCGCCACAGCTCGGCAGCCGCTCCGCAGAATCAGCTCCTCCATTTTTGCCAGGTAGCTGGGATTGAAGTACGGACCGATCTGCCGGCGCCGTCGACTAGCGAGCTTGGGGTCACTGAAGGTGACGATATTCGCCATGACGGGGTCATTAAGGCCATGATAGACGTCAATCTTTTGGAACTCGGAAGACGCGAGGATGGCCCGCACATCCCGGGGATGGCTGATTGTGATGGTCCGCGGTTTGGAGAGGTAGATGTCCCCATAGGTATGGAAGTCGGCCAGGGCTGCGGGGATGACCCGGCTGGGGAGGCGGGCATAGATCGCTCGGAGGGGGGTGAGGCGTGCAAGAACCGGTCCCGGAACCCGGTGAAGGGGAGACAGGACCAAGGCGTCCAGCAGGCGCCAGGAAACCCACAAGATGACAACTAGGCAGAGAATAATGGGAAGGGCCATGGTGTCTCAGCGCGTGTCAGAGGAGAGGCAAGGGTGATTCAACCTCGAAAGAGATAAGAGTGCTGTGCAAAGGTCCTCGTCGCTTCGTTTACCCTTTTTTGGTAGATCCTGGAATACCCCTCTTCTTGTCTATCGGCGGGGTTGGCATGGTTCACTCCCCTTGCATACGTGCGCAGCTTCATGCGCCTATCACATGTGAAACTGTCTCTCTATGTCCTTCTTTTTCCTGATACAGAGGCTTGCGTCTGCATGTTCCACCACAGGTGACATCGCTTTTGACAAGGAATTGAAGCAAACATGTGGGTGTTTTGCCTCTATCTGGAAAAAGAACAGGGAATAGCCACGGGTTTCTCCTCTCCGGCTGAATACGATACTGATCCTTCAATTGACCAATAGTCTTTATACTTAAAATGATGACCCGGGATGATCTCCACAGTGGCCCAGGGGTTAGAAATACTAGGTCCAAATACTTGATCGAAATTTTCAATCTGTCATTCATATGCGTCCGTGCACGATCTAGATGCCTGCAGCCAGTCTCAATACGACATTGGATTGTTGACCCTAGTTTGTATCTGTATACGAACATATGCTATCAGACCAGTTTCTGACCCCTCGCCTGGTCCCATGTTTGAATCGAAAGAGGCACAGGCGAGATAGACACAATTCTATGGCAGGTTCACTCTACAATGCTTTGATTCATACAGTTCAGGGGGAGAAGACTACCACTTCCACGATGATCAGAATCGCTGAGCTTCAGGCCCTTCTGAACACAATCAGCGTACTCCAAGTGCTCGCGGCAATCTTCATTGCAGCCCTCACCTATCGACTGATTGACGCCTATTTCCTCTCACCCCTCTGTTCCATTCCTGGCCCCTTCTGGCCCGACTGACTACCAAACGCGCCAATGTCGACACCTTCTCCGGGAAGGTGACCCAGACCGTCGACAAGGACGTCGCCAGGTACGGCGATGTATATGTCTACAAACCCCGTGCGGTCTGTATCAATCACCCAGATGACATCCGCGCCGTGCTAGGCTCCCAGGAGTTTCGCAAGGCCGCCTTCTTTGACATCTTCAACGACGGCAACACACCCAATATCGTCTCGCTCAGGGAGCCAGAGCTGGCCAACCGTCGCCGGCGGCAGCTAGGCCCCTTCTTCAACTATGCTTATCTGGGCCGCGCAGAGCCTCTGATCCTCCAGCATGGATACAAGGCCATCCGCACGAAATGGGATGCGTTAATAGGAGCGAACGGCGGGCGCCCAACCGAGGTCAACTACCGCACTGACACCCAGCTCGTGACGTTCGACATCATGAGTGCGCTTGCGTTCGGGCGCAACTTCAACGCCATCTCCCGCGGTAGCTCGTCAATCATGAAATGGGCCGGGTTGATCATGGAGATGCTGGAGTCGCCCGTCGTCCTGGCACTGCTGTCGCTGCTGCCGTTCTCGCTCATCATGCGGCCGTGGAAAATCATGTATCGCGAGCTGGCGGCGTTCAGCAGCGACGCTGTGGACATGCGCAAGCAGTTGCTGGCTGACGACTCCGCGGAGAAGCCCTCGGACATGCTGCAGGCGTTTATCGACGCGGAGGACCCCGAGTCCAAAGTCAAGATGAGCCCGCATGAGGTGCAGGCCGAGAGTATCATGATGATGCTGGCGGGGAGCGAGACCACCTCATCCGCCATCATGTGGACGTTCCACCTGCTGCTGCTCTACCCGGAGACTCTCAGGCGCGCCGTCCACGAGGTCCGCAGCACCTTCCCCTTGAGCCACTTGGTGACATACAAGGACGTGCGCAGCAGCTTGCCGTACGTCGAAGCCTGCGTGTACGAGGCTCTTCGGCACTCGCCCACCACGGCCGGACTGACTCCGCGCATTTCCCATTCTACGGGCATCACCCTGCAGGGACATTACATTCCGCCCGGGACAGAAATCTACGTCAATCTGCGCTCGCCGAGCATGCATCCCAGTCTCTGGGACGACCCAGCGCGGTTCAACCCGGACCGATTCCTCGATGGCGAGACCAACAAGCGGTTGCTCTTCACCTTTTCCTATGGTCCGCGGAACTGCCTTGGACGTAACCTCGCCTGGGTGGAAATGCTCACCATCGTCGCCAACATCCTCAAGGACTACGACATTGCGCTGACCGATGATAGCCGGTTTGGGCCGCATTGCACAGATGAGAATGGGCTGCCGGTTCTCATGCCCGCCAAGTGCTTCATTGCGTCCTTCCCGGCCAAGCCGGAGAGGGACTGTCGGATGGTGATTACCAGGAGGATCGCGTGAAAACATGCGCTAGAGAGTATTCTTCGTGCTACTCTTGTGTAATGTAACGAGTTTAGAGAAGTGGAGCGAATGGCTGGTCAAATGGCCCTGATTGACACGTTAGAAACCTGAAGTAGGAAAGGCGCATACCACGCCTTGTTTTCTAAAGTCCGTAGGCAGGTGGCCAATAATCAGGACGAGTTAGAGGTTACAATCAGTTGACTGCTAAGCAGGCAGTGGCGTTCCTCATGCGTAAGGGCGAGCATGCAGAAGGCTCGGCTTTTAGGCAACGGGGTCCCCCCTCGCCGGTTTTTGTTGTACTGTCTGTTTCGGAGATTTCTATTTTTATTATTATTATTATTATTATTTTTTTTTTTTTTTTTTTTTGAAAATATTGTAAGAAACGAATTGTAAGGAAAACTAAAAAGACGAGTCCGGTAATACAGACTATTTGCAGTCTTGCCACGGTACAGATAGTTCAGTATAAAGTCCTTCCTGCAAGGCCCACAGCAGGTAGTAAGAGAGCTCTTGCCTTTTACCATGGCTATAGACAGCAGCATGCCTGCGACAGTCATCGGCAAGGCCGAATTCTCCAACACCAAAGCCGCCAGCGAATTCGGTACTGATCTATCGCGATGGCGGCTCAACGTCGACAACGGCCGGCACATGTGGGTGTATCTCGAGTCCGAGGATGAAGCCAGAAAACGACCGCAAAGTTTCCTGGAAGAGTACTGGCTGGGTCTACCGTATGAGCTCCCTGCGCGGCCTCGCGCCACCCACGCCCTGGAGGCCGTGGAAAACGGATGGGAATTCTTCAAGCGCCTGCAGACAGCCGATGGGCACTGGGGATGCAACGATGACGGCCCCCTGTTCGTCACTAGCGGGATGGTCATCGCAAGGTACATCGTGGGGATCCCGATAGACTCCCACATGAAGCAGGAAATGTGCCGGTACTTACTCAACGTGGTCAACGAGGACGGCGGATGGGGCCTGTTCATCCAGTCCCCGTCGACCGTCTTCGGGACGGTGATGAACTACTGCATGCTGAGGATCCTGGGGCTGGGGCCGGAGCATCCAGCGATGGCAAGGGCGCGCAACACCCTGCTCCGACTGGGAAGCGCGAGGGCCACCCCGACCTGGGGCAAGTTCTGGCTGTGCGTCCTCGGCGTGTACGAGTGGGAAGGGATGATCCCCTGCCGCCGGAGCCGTTGCTCGTGCCTGCAAGTTTGCCCTTCAATCCGGGGAAATGGTGGGTGCACACTCGTAATGTCTATATCAGCATGAGCTATCTGTACGGCCATCGATTCTCGATGCCGCCCAACAAACTCGTGCAGGCTCTGCGCGACGAGCTCTACGACATCCCCTACGAGCAGATTAACTGGCCAGCGCAGCGCACCAATGTCAGCGCCGCGGACCGTCTCACAGACTCAACCTGGATCCAACGCAGTTTTACCTCTGCTCTGACGACGTACGAGACCCTCAAGATCCCCTTCCTGCGGCGTCGCGCGCTCAACGAAGCTCTGTTCCAGATCGAAACGGAAACTCGCAACACCCACTATTTGTGCATCGCGCCCGTGAGCTTCGCCTCAAACATGCTGGCGCTGTATCATGCCCACGGCCGGGACAGCCACTGGATCCGCGGCATGCGCGACCGGTTCATCGACCCGATGTGGCTGTGCCGCGAGGGTCTGGCCGCCTCCGGCACAAATGGGACCTCGCTGTGGGATACGGCGTTGACGGTGCAGGCCACCATCGACGCCGGACTAGCCACGCGGCCCGAAAACCAAGCCATCCTGCGCAAAGCCCTCGAATTCATCGACAACTCGCAGATCCGCGAGGACCCCCTTGGCGTGCACCACGTCTACCGGCAGCCGACTCGCGGCGCCTGGCCCTTCAGCACGCGCGACCAATCGTACGCCGTGTCGGACACCACCGCTGAGGCCGTCAAGGTCGTCGTGCTCCTGCAGCGGATCGAGGGCTTCCCCGCGCGCATATCCGACGAGCGGCTCCAGCAGGCCATCGATCTGATACTGGGGATGGAGAATGCCGGTGGCGGGTTCTCGGCTTATGAGCCCGTGCGGGGCCCAAGTTCCTGGAACTGCTCAACATCACAGAGCTCTACGAGAACGTCATGACGGATAATCTGTATCCGGAATGTACCAGCTCCGTGATCATGAGTCTGACGACGTTCGCCCAAGAGTACCCTACCTACCGAGCACGTGATATTCAGGCCTGCATTTCCCGGAGTGTCGACTACCTGCTGCGGTCTCAGTACCCGAATGGCGGCTGGTTCGCCAGTTGGGGAGTCTGTTTCACGTATGCGACCATGTTTGCGCTGCAGGGACTGGCCTGCGTGGGTCGGGATGAGTCCAACTGCGCCGCGTGCCAGCGGGCTTGTAGTTTCTTGCTGCAGCACCAGAATCCCGACGGTGGGTGGGGTGAGAGCTTGGATACCGTTCGGTTCAAGCAGTACCTCCCCCATGCGGACGGGAGCCAGGTGACTAATACCGCCTATGCGGTGATAGGATTGCTAGCGGCACGATGTGGGAACCATGAGGCAGTTCGTCGTGGTGTGGCGTATCTTATGAAGGAGCAGCAGGATACCGGGGAGTGGTTGCCGGGGGCGCTGGAAGGAGTGTTTGCTCCTCCTGGGGGGATGCGGTATCCGAATTACAAGTTTCACTTCACCTTGATGGCACTGGGAAGGTATGCCGCGGTCTACGGAGATGAATGTCTAGCTGCGCAACTAGTATGATACTGAGTGGTGCCAATTATTGCCTTTATAGTCAAGTAGCACGCATGTCTCATAGTCACCGCAGCTGTGATAACCAGCTTGAGCAATTGGATGCTAGTCTCTTAATCTTCAGCTCACAATTCTCCACAGGGATAGGAAGGCCCTTATTTGGCTGTCCATGTGATGATGTCTAGCTTTCTTTTGTTCCTGGTCCATACATGTCAAATACGTCTGGTATACTGTATCTGGAGATTAACTCCGTCACGCTTCGGGATTTTAGAATCCAATCTCATCCTTGATTCACAATAGCAGGGTAGGAGTCTCCTCGGACTAACACGTTGTAAGGGATTCTACTTGGATCATAGCCATCAATATATTCTGCGCCCCAGAGAGCTGATACCCCTACATGACGTTTGAGGTCCCGTAGAGCCAGGTCAGTTGACTTTCAATCAAGATACCACGAGCTGTATAAATGTAATCTGATCCTGTGTGATCACATCCAAATCGTGGTCTGCGACCCAGGCCCAGACCTTTTCCAGATACACCATCAATGATGGTCAGATGCAGCAGGACAAGCCACAATACAACCTGGATATATGCAACCCATCTACTTAGGGCATTGCTCCCTTTAAAACTCAGAACCAATAGCACTACCAACACAAACATGCGAATCCCACATGACAGCAGAGCCTTTAACTGACTGCTCAACATTCCACTCACCGAGAACAGCTCCTGTAGTTGGTCTGAACACTACAAACATCATATCTTAGATCTTAATGATGCCTACACCCCCAGGGTTTCCAACTTTGACAGCAACATAGGGGCTATTAATATTCTCATATTTAGGGTGAGTGGTGTCTAGGTGACTGAGCCAAGGGGTTTGCGACGACCACCAGGTATTTTCTTACTAAGGTGTGTTACCTTAGGATGATAACTAAATAATGCTTAGTGGGTGCAGAATAGTGGTATGTAGTATGTACTTAAGTATTAAAGTAGTAGCTTGCTAAGGGAAAACATAAATGGAAATGTGGCTGTTTATGGCCTTAGTAGTGGTCATTTTTGGTGTTGATTTCACAGATCCTCATATTCTAGGTGTAAAACTTCCCACAGCAGAGAATAACGGGTTGCTCGATATGAGGAGTGGTAAACACGTGTCATAATGCTTGGCATCTTGTGGAGACTCATACTTGCACTTTGTACTAATGCTGAATGCGATCAACCAGCATCGCATGACCATAGCCATGATTCAAGTTGACCATCATAGCCTGTGCTTCGTAGATGGGCGAATCCTAGGTTTGAATATGTTGCCCTCCTGCTGTTTTAATACTAAGTATATTGACTCCGTGGCAATGGATTATTGTAAAATGTCTGCTGCTCTCAGAGCCTGGCTGCTCGCGGCTGCAGCTGTAATATATCTGACCTGAAGAAATCTCAAATGTGACTTTACTGTGCCACTGATACAGCATGCATGTGTTGTCTAAATTGGCATATCTTTGCTGAACCGTCCATTCCAGCGGTATGACCGCGGACGCTATAATGCTATGGAGCTATAAATGATGGCTGATAATAGCAGCTTTTTGGTTGAACCTTGTATATCTCTATGCAGGTGATGAATCTAATTTGTTATAGGAGCTTGTGATTAACAACATGAGTAAATATCAACCATAGATGATTGGTGGACCTGTGAATTCGCACAAGAGACTAGTAAAGATAACTAAAATAATCTGCCTTCTAGTTGGAAACGAATATCTTCTCTTCCAGTATGAATTTGAATCTTATTAGGACTGGATAATAGGAAATGCGATTGAGCTTTTCATAGTGCTATATATGAAAGGGCTTACCCCTGAAAACTTTCCAGTGAACACCCCTCCACTCACAGTCCAGAGATCTTCTATAACGCTTTATGATGGCTTAGGGAAATATTTCATAGTAATAGGGAGTCTGTGACTGCTCCTCTTCCTGCAATGTGTGTAAGTATATCCCTGCCCTGGCACATAGCAAACACTAACTAGTATACCCCATAGGTCTTTGTGCAACATTTGCTCCTTGCTGTCTATTTAATAGAATAGGTGCTTAATTCAAGGGCTATGATGCTTAAAGCTGTGGTTAGGATGTAAGTATTCAAAAATAAAATATTGTACACACCTGCTAAACAGTACTGCAGTGCTGCATTTATTTCTTATTAGGTTGTGTTCTTAGTCTTCCATGCATCCCTTTAGGATTCTGCTAATACACAATCCAGCAGGAATACAAAATCAAGGGCAACGGCCTAACAGACTATCTTACAGCATGGTGTTGCTCTTGCTGTATTTTACACTAGCTAGACTGGGAGACAAAGCACTGCCCGTCTGCGGAGCAGGAAGGCTATTAACAACCAGCAGGCATGACTTATAGTATACAGAACTAAGCAGGGAGCTAATTACAAAAATTAACTTACTACATTTATCCTCCTGCTTGAAACAATCCTTAGGTATATGCTATATATACTCCTGGTCTAAGCTAATAGATAGTTTGTAAGGTTCCGAGGGGGATAATTCTCCTGCCAGTGATTTAACTAATTATGGGTAGTTCTCTACTAATAATAATCCAATACTCCGAGCATCTAAGACTAATACTGTAGATGCCTTGCTCTTGATGGTTTATCTAGCTTCAGTCCTGGCGAAAGGGAGACCAGGTCCAGGTGATAGGAGGCTTAAGCATTCACAATCATTGCATGGTACATTGTGACTACCTCCAGGCCATCCCCATTGATGCCCTCGTACACAATAATGGTGGTGATAAATAGTATATACTTACACCATCAAGAACAAATTCTTAGCCTAAGCTTTTAGCGAACAATGAATGAGGATTTGATGATACTTCCCCTGGAAGCGTCGCAAATAGTCTTAGACTAAATGCAAAACTTTACACAGGAACCTCTACTATAATAAACCTCCCATGGCTCCAAAAATGGGAATTCATGGACGCTCTAGCATGCTTCAAGCATACTGCTGCATTATTTCGCTAGACCACTTTCCAGAGAAATGCAATTGCCCTTGGAATGGTATCTTCTATACCCAGGATGGATGGACTGAGGGCCAGATGGCTTCATTCCCTTGAGTCCTTGCCCTCAGTTGTTATAGACCACCATACTCTAGACTAGGGATGGATTCGCATATTTTAGTCTATTAATAAATAAAAAACCCCACTAATACAGGGGCTACCATTATAAGAGCTGATGAAATGTCCTGAATAACTAAAAGTATTAGGTTCATCATTAGCAATGTGAGGGGCTGCAACATCCAGTTATGCTCTTCTCTTATAAATAGAGCAGTAATGCCACAAAACATGTATTATTTTTCTTCGCCAGTCTGGTTATAAGACTATAAATATGACTACTGAATGTCAGAGATTTTCAGAGGAAAGAATGAGGAAACTCACAGCTAAGGCTAGAATTATGTATAGAACCCTTATAATCTATGGTAGTCTCAGCATTTGCTCTCTTTTCCTCTAGGATCTTATTCTTTCTAAGCAGTATTTATCTTGTAAATGCTGTAGGTGGGAGGAGCTCCATATTTTTAAGAGATAATATAGGAGCTAGCCTAAGCCCTAGTTATAGATCTATTACCTACTTTGTCAACTGGGTAAGACATCTTTGAGATAATATAAAGCACAGATAGCACACTAACTAACTATCTACCTAGGGAATTTATGGCCGCAAGTTTAATCCTTAAGACCTCCCTGTTAAGAGGCTTACTCATGTCCTCTATGCATTTGTGAATGTGCAGAATAAAACCAGAGAGGTGTATCTTTCTAATATCTATACAGACTTAGATAAGCATTACCCCAGTGATTCCTAGTCTGAAGCAGGTAATAATATCTATAGATGCGTGAAATAACTATATTTACTAAAGAAAAGAAACTGAAATCTTAAAGTGCTTCTATCCATTAGGGGATGGATATATTCTCAAAATTTTACTTCACCAGCCGCCACAGATGCAGGGCGGAAAATATTTGCTCAGAGCTCTGTGAAGCTGCTTCAGGACCTAGGGCTAGATGGGCTAGATATTAATTAGGAGGCAAGTTATAGTAGTCTCTCCTCTCCACATTACATAGATTAATAGAATGATTCCACTGTAGTATCCTAAAAATGATGGAGAAGTGAGTGATTTTACTCTCCTTTTATAAGAGCTAAGGGCTGTATATTTCTCCTCCTTTCTTCTCCCACACTCCTATTCTAATTATTAACCAGGCCCTTAATAATTATAGCGCGAAGCATGCTGCTGGGAAAAAGTTCCTTCTTACAGTGGCGTCCCTGGCTGGTAGGTGACAAGATGTGTCTGAAGTGATATGACATGGATAGCAAGAAGTATTTCCTAACTTTTATCTAGATCCGTAAAAGATTAGTACTTTTTATCTTAAAGATATGGACCCCTATTTGGACTTTTAGAATCTTATAGCTTATGATTACGCAGGAGGTATATTTTTAGGGTATACTAGATATTAGGTAAATATATTCAAGAGCAGCTCTAACCAGCAGTCAGCGCCATTCAATACTGAAGAGGCTGTTAAGAATTATCTTAGTCGCGGAGTTATAGCAAGCAAGATTATTCTAGGTATGCCTCTTTATAGTTAGGCATTTACAAATATAACAGGCCCTAGTAAACCTTTTTCCGGCATAGGTGAAGGCAGCTGGGAGGATGGCGTCTAGGACTATAAGGCTCTGCTATAACCAGGAGCTAAAGAACACATAAATAACAGTATAATAGTAAGCTATAGTTATAACTCAGAGCAGACCTTTATCAGCTACAATAGTCCTCAGGTTGCAGAGTAGAAAGCAGAATACATTAGGCTTAAAGGGCTCAGAGGTGGCATGTGGTGGGAGAGTAGTGTGGATAAGCTAGGAAATAAATAGTCTAATAATAACAGTATGCTCTACATTCTCTCTACTTTTATATGGCTAATAGATATGCAAGGTTGTTCAAGCACTTAGGGGCGTTAGCGCGTTAGAGCAAAAAGAGAATTAGCTATACTACCCTCTTTCCCAATATGACAATATATGGGGTAGGATGCAAGAATAGTGATGATTAAAAGCATAAGAGAAAAGGGAATAAGGAAGGAAAACCACTTTTATGATAAATATAGCTCTACTTAGATCTGTATATTAGAGAGCAGTATAAGATAGTGATTAGAGGTGAGCAAAGGTTAAGACATATTGAATGCCTGGCGCCCTCCCTGGCTAAAAGATAAGTAAGAACAACAGCTTCTAACCTTGCGAGCTTGACGGTGTCACTATATCTTAAAAAGTTTTTCCCGTTAGATCTAGTGTTTGAATGCTCTTCATTGTGTAATGGTGTTAAGCTCATTCAGATGAATGCCAAAATCAACCTGGTAGATTAGCTGAAGTTATGTGTTCCCTGAACTTTACGCTATTCAGCAATAAAAGGATTAAAGTATGTCCTAAGCTGTGCTAGAAGTAATGCCCTGCGTGCTTTCACAAGCATTCCTAAACTGTGTGATTACTTTAGCTAAGATTAACTATTAGTAGATAACTTCTGTAAAAGCTAAATAGCCTCCACTGAGTCGTAGAGGACGTAACCCTAATAATAAATGCAGTTAATAATGTACTCACCTCATCTCCCCTCATGCATTAAATGTAATTTTCCGGATTGCCTCCTAGGCATATGCAGTCTGCTTAGGTGTATGTCCTTGCCCATCAACATCTTCTAACTATGAGCACCTAGGTCAATGGAATAGTAGAGAAACCTCAGGTTAATGTGGCGGCCGTCATATGTAAGAGAGTGAATGATGTCTTTGCGTCACGGATGGCCCACTAGAAAAACCTTACGAGCTATGGCATGTGAGCCCTAATCTGCACAGCCTCTGAGTGCGTAGGTTTGCTTCCCATGGTTGTGGTCTTGACCGCCAAGATTCAGCATGAGCTTTATGGCTTAGGATTGGCCCTGAGCCAGGTGTGAGTTACAGGCAATAGTGCTGAAGCGTCCTCCCCAACCAGAGTATATGGGGTATACAAAAAGAGGATTTCTATAAACAGACACACACTAAATTGGGATCGGATTAGTAGTTTGGCCTAGTAGTAAAATTCTATGGACAAACTGTATAGCAAATCCTATTACATGTTGAGTCAGATACTCTATATGGTATAAATCTACTGCTTCGCCTCAACGGTCCAGGAGACTTAAACTGGGATTAATAACTAATTTATAGGGTTGCCTGCAATCAGCATATGAAAGTTGACCCACAGCACTGATACTTGTGTATTATCAGCCTCATATTAGCTTAATAAATGCTTGGGAAGCCCAGCTAACACTTGTTGTCGCCCAGGTCAGGATGCAAGATTCATCCTGCGTCAACATACCCAAGAGTTTACCAAAATTGAACTGTACCACCATGACGTATCATGTTATTATTCCTTAGATTGTATCTAGGATAGCATTGATAGCAGGCATGGCTAGAAAGATATGACTTCTATTGCCAGTATTTCTAGTCCACCCTATCATAAACATTATTAGGGGCTAATTTTCTCTGGTATTGTTCAACCTTGATTGTGTTGAGGGTGCCCTGCTGGGGCATATGCAAGTAATGATTATGGTTACATACCTCTGCTCTCTCTATAGTGACACCCTCCTGTAGAATCCTTGCTTTGCACGCTAAATACATCCTTATAGTGTATTTCTACAGGGGGAATTCCAAATGAAGCAAAATAATATTAAGTGGCTAATCTTGTGCAATGGAAAGGTAGAAAGATAAAGAGCATTAAGACAGCAGTAACACCTATAGAGTTACTACTATATAGCAGATGTACAAGGACTACTCCAGCTGCCTGGTAATAACCTCCTAAGATCTACACTACTACTCTTATGCCCTAGCGGGACAATTATTAAACACTTTTACCTTCTATATGATGTACTTTGGTATCTTATTGCTGATTATCCTAATCACAGGCAGAGGGCATGCCACTGCTGTTTTCACCCACTTTCTAGTGTGTACCGCTCGTAAATCCTCATCACTATTTCTGACCACATCCTAGCTTTCCAACTCAGCTAACTTCACAAGTGCTGACTGGGTAAAACACATAAGATTAGCCCAAGATACCTAGATAGACGCCTTCGCATTGAATATCATGGTAAGGGACACTATTAACACTTAATTAATACCACTAGCTTTCAAAGCCGCCCAGGCCGCCAGGTTTAAGATTTTCTTTTCCTTTAACTATATCGCCCGCGGGCCATGGAACCAAGATAACATGACTAAGTTATTATTAAGATATAAAGTAAATAAGGCTTACTATAGGAATAATAGTCGTCCGCTAGCATCCACCTTTGAGGGCTCAGAGAATGCAGAGGAGTGGAGAAATATTAAAGCCAGCATAGATTGCTTCTTTATTCCTAACTGGTCCTTACTGGGAGCCAAGGCAGCATTGGAGAAGGGGTATAGAATTATGAACAGGCTTTTTAGCTAGGCTGCCTAGCCCTCTGGCCCACAAGATATGAACATGTAGGTGGATTTATCCTATCTAAAACTCCTTAATAAATTAGAGGGTTTAGCCTATATGATACTGGTATCTCCATGGTTCTATACTAATTTGCCAGGCTATGGCAAGAACTGGCTTTGGCGTGGGGATGACCTCTGGCATGATTGCTAGCAAGAGGTCTTATCTGTCCGCCTAGAATTTGTTGAAATCATTTTATAGAATGACTATGGTGAGTCCTACTAGATCAGACTACTTCATAAAGGCAGGTATAAGCTATTTAGCACCAGCAAGGCCCCATTCAATTACACAGAGAATATGCTACATGATGGATGGTGAACCCTACTACCATTCATTATTAGTATATATAAGCATAGCCATGCTATAGTGGAAGCAGAGTCACTGGTAGCTTGGTATCACACAGCACTAAGAGCTACTTGTAGTAGTGGTGGAACCTCAGTGAATACACAAAGTCACACAGAGCTTGAATTCAGCCCTCTAGAGGTTATAGCAGATTGCATTTTCTACTCCACCTTACTCACTGAATATGCCACGGCTGAAGTAATCATTGGTAGCACCATGCAAATAGGGACTTGGAGAAACCAACCAGCTAGTGGTAGGGGCATCTATCACAGGAGCGCGCCATTTAATGGGGCTAAGGGGGATGTAGAATTGACTTTATAGAGAGAAGGTAATAGAATCTTGACATTAAGAGGCAAGGGGATCTCTGGGAGCTGTTCTAATAGTATTTAGAATTAGAATGCCTGGGTGGGCAGTACCACATCACCCAGCTAACTCATCACCCAGCCTGAGCTTATGAGCTAATACTCAAAAGGGCACAAGGACAGCCATTAGTGAAGCCTTAGTTGTTAATCATGCCTCTTGATCGTTTCGATGAGCGATAGTGTCTACTTAGAGATAGTTTGTTATTTCGTTTATGAGACTATAAAACGTTCATTGTAGCCTTGAGACTGCATGAAACTATGTTAAAGACAGAAATATGTCTCACTCCCCGGGAAAGCCTGCTGCCAGTCCCCGAAATTGAATTAAGAGTATCTGTCAGAAGCTGCGTCTCAGACCCTTCCCACCCACGCGCAAGGAAGCGACCGAGGTCGAAATTACAATCCAATGCTATGATCAGTGTCCTGATAACATTCCCATGTTCGTTACTTTATGGGATGTTGCGCGAAGTCCAGAGAGTGGGTTAAGCATGGCCTTTGTCCAGAGACGTTAGCTGATACTAGAATTTGCCTGTCAATATCGCACCAGACTATTGAAGTCTTCATCGATGGTGCACAGAAAATGGTGACAGATACATAAAATGTATTTCTCAGGCCCTAGTAATGTAGAAGCTACGCCGCGATGTACCATATTCAAAGCACTGTTACTGTTCTTATTCTCTATTCAACGGCTACACTTTACAAGCCCTCCTAGTCACACTTAATTCCAGGTTTCTTCCCGTAACGACTCTAAAACAGTGCATAGACGTAGTCCAGATTAACAAAAGAAAAGGACTGTAAAATCCCTGACTAGGAGCCTGTAAACTACAGGCCCGATCACTGTAAATAAGCATGGTTGAAGGGAAGGGGTTATGTAGAACTTTTAGAAGAGTCACAAGCCAAAATGAGAAACTGCCTTAAGATAATGAGTCCATGTAATCACCTTCTATAGTTATTTGGGACTACCCTGAGCCTGCTATAATCTGTAGAACGAGCAGAGACATGAGGTACTCTCAAGCAATGGTGGCTTCTCTCAGGCATATAGGTAGCAGGTGCCTAATAGAGAAAAAAGTGAAGCTCCCAATGAAAAAGCACTAGCTAGCCATGTTGCCGCAAGCATACGTGGGCTAAGATGAGAATTGACTGAAAAGTCACCTAGAAATGTTCGGATCCCGGCAGATACTGAGCTGTATAGAATCGTCACGGTAATTGATGCACCAACAATGGATGTTGTAGTAATCTGGAAGAGGTTAGCCTTTGGCTCTTTTCATCACATATTTATTGGCTTACAAGGGAGCAGATAAGTGCTGGAACTGGCCCTATTTGAGTAGTATTGATAAGAGCTCCGCAATAACTGTTAAGGCAGTAGCAGCCATCCCAATGATGTATGCCGCGATAGCCCTACTAGCGGTGTTGTGCGCGGACTCCACGGTTCCCATACTAAATAGGGCCGACCGCAGGGCCTGGTGACCGCAGTTTCCACGTCCATTCCCCGTCCAGTCCGGATTCCACGGTCCTGATCATCCTGCCTTGGCGGACTCCACGGCAATGGCCCATATCTTAGTCAATTCTTGATATTTTTGAATGGTTTAAAATGCTTTATGAATCTAATTAGCTAAATTATTATATTCTAATATCAAATCCTTGATTATTCGCTAGCAAGGTGGTTAAACTAGGGGGGTAGGTGCCAGGTCGAAATTTTTTGCTGGGGTGTGCCAAGATGATTATCTGCGGGAAGCCTATACCCTTTTAGGCCACCACCTAGCCTGGATTAGTGCCTGAGGCATCTATTAACCTAGAAGGGCCTTAGAATTCAGGCAGAAATTATGAGAAAAATAATTAGTAGTATTTATTAAAAGCCTAGTACTAGGTGACTAATAATAAATATTTTTAGTAAATAGTAGGGACTTTTAGCTATAGAATGATAATAGTCTGATTATGTAAGCATGATTCCTAATTTTTTAAAAATCCTTAAAAGACACTTTGAAATTTATTACCTGCTGACTAATTATAATTATTTTTAGTTAATAGGCCAAATTTTAACTAGAAGAATGATATATAGTATGCTTAGTAATACTAAGCCTAGAATTTTTAAAAATTCATAGAAGTTAATGTTTTGTGGATTTCATTTAGAGAGTAGGTCTAGACTTAGTAGTATAGTAGGGAGAGGCCTATAAGCAGGCTACCTAGACTAGTTAATTTAGCTACAATAGGTCCCTGCGTGGGCTATCTCAACTAGGTGATTCGGCTGCGATAGGTCCCTGCGTGGGCTATCTTAACTAGGTAATTCGGCTTCGATAGGTCCCTGCGTGGGCTATCTAGACTAGTTGTTTCGGTATGGCTTAACCTAGTGATTTGGCTTCGATAGGTCCCTGCGTGGGGTATCTCAACTAGTTAATTTAGCTACAATAGGTCCCTGCGTGGGCTATCTCAACTAGGTGATTCGGCTGCAATAGGTCCCTGCGTGGGCTCTCTCAACTAGGAGATTCAGCTTTGGTAGATCTCTGCATGGGCTATCTAGACTAGGTGATTCAGTATGGCTCAGCCTAGTAATTTGGCTTCAATAGGTCACTGTGTTAGCTATCTTAACTAGGTGATTCAGCTTTAACAGGTCTAAAATATAGATATAGTAGGGTCATTCAGATGTAGGTAAAGCTTTAGTTAGTAACTATATATATAGTAGAGTCATCTAGATCTAGGGAGACATTTAATTTATAAATATATATAATGAAGGGAAATCAATATATTTAACTTATACTAGCCTAGTAATTCTATAATTATCTAGATATATCTAGGCCTATCTATTATATCTAGTAGAATAAGATATACTAAATCTATAAAATAATAGGGCCCCTTTATAGTAGGGGGAGGATAAGGGTAGCTTTTAGAGCTAGGGAATAAGGGATTAGGTATATAGGTATTTAATATACTCTATCCCACAAGGGGTGGAGCACCATGGTCATGGTGCGTTTAGGGTGTGTAGCTACTGATTGCTTGGCAAACCCCAAGTCCGCGCATGGTGGGTTTACACACTTAGTGGCATGGTGCATTTAGTATTAATAGGCTGATAATGCTCAGATTTTTTCCTTATATAGAGTAGCTATTTATCTTTTCACTAGTTAAATTTAAGGTCTATTAATTCATTCTTGAAGGTGTGGTGTGGTTATAAAATTACCTTATTCAACCTCTGTAATTTTGTTGGGGTATCACCCGCACCTGCATTAGATTCAGGGGTAGAGGTATTCCCATCTCTTAGAATTCATAAATAGTCATTTAAATTCATTTAATCCATCCATATTCATCCATAGTTATTATGGAAAACCAGTTATTTTGTCAGGTGCCGACCCTAGGCATACTCATTTGCCATCAATGCCAGCAGGGGGTGCGACCAGCAGAGGTGGATCAGCATCTTAAGAAGAAGCATCACCTAAAGCATGCAGTCACTAGCCAGATCATCCAGGCAATATCTCAATGGGATGATATTCAGTATGAGAGTAGTGCAATCTGCATACCATATGAATTAGATCAGCCACTGCCTATATTACCATGTCAATTAAATGGCTTGCTCTGCCAGCGAGATCCACTATGCTTATTCATTGCCTCTACTATGAAATCTATGCGAAAGCACTGGCGAATAGTTCACCAGTGGTCCCAGCAGGGCCATCGCGGGCGGGTAGGCCCAAAGGAGAAGGCTAGGGGTGAGGCAGAGCTACAGCAGTCATTTCAATATGTCTCATGGCAGCAGGTGTTCCCTAGTGGTCCAGGGTCCCACTATATCTATATTCGATATCCAGATGGGGTCCCCCACCCCCATCTACCCAGGGCGTGCAGGCTGCGGTGGATGAGGTGGTGCAGGCCTGGGAGCAGGCCCAGGCCCGGGCCAAGGCCGATCAGGCCATCCAGGCCAGCCAGCTGACTGACGCGAACCCCTGGCTGCGGATGACTTGGTGGGCCGACTATCTGCAGGGCACCCAGGCCCATGACCTGCTAGCCTGCGTGGCAGCCCCGGAGGAAGATCCCCAGGATGCCACTGAGCAGCGCGTGCAGGTCATCTGGGCCACCATGGAGCAGGTTGCCCGTAAGAGCCAGCAGACAGTCCAGCATTGCGGCCAGGCCATCCGGGTGGAAGCCGTCCGGTCCGAAAAGGGGCAGACCCCATACCGGCCGCTGCTGGCATACATGGATGAGGCTGCGGTCCAGAAGCATGTCCGTCCATGGCAGCAGATATTAGCATTCATTGCCCGCACGCAGGCCCCGCACGGCTGGACCAGCCTGAAATATGGGATGACCGCGCGGCAGCGCCAGAAATGGCGGCAGCTGTGGCAGCTCGCTAGCCAGGCCGCAGTTCCAGGGGACCGGGAGGACCGGGAGGACCTGGAGGACCTGGAGAACCCAGAGGACCTAGAGGTATGGGCGATGACTGCTATAGAAAAAGCATGCTTAGAATTTTGCATTGAGCTGCTCAACCAGCGCCATCGCAGCCACGAATATGAGAGTGCATTAGTATGCGCCATGGCCGTACTTGGTCAGGGTGAGGCTGGCTGGCGGGACCCAGAGAGCTACCCACCAATATTATCCCGCGTGATCAAGGTGGCCCGATTCATGGTGGTCCAGAAAGCATTATGGATGGACCCGAATCCATGGCAGATCATTCAGACCTGGATACAAAAGGACCAGAGCGCTGAATGGGTGCTAGCTAGCGCAGATGATCAACTTGGGGAGATTGATGAGGGATATGGCAGCGATGACCCCCCATCATTGCCACCATCATCGCCGCCATCATCCATCCATAGCGATGATCCATTGCCCGCGGTCAACATTCGCCAGAGCCGCCGACCGTTCCAGGAGCAGGTGACATGGATGATGCACCAGTTTATGATCCGTGGGACACACGGCCCCATGGAAACATTGCTAGACTGGCGCACGTATGGATTAAAGGTCCATTATAATCATACCGCGCCCGGACATGTGACATGGATGGGGGAGGACCAACTGTTATATCAGCAGATGGCATTCACAATGGGGGATTTTCGGGGATTCATCCATGGATTAGTAACTGCAGTGAGGGAGATACTTGGCCATTTATGCATGCAGGATCATGCGCAGATGCCTGCCATTCCCTGGACGGCATTATATGACGATCCCAGCCAGAGCCAGGCGGGGTGGAACTTTTTGCACGACGCACGGACCCAGTGGCCGGTGGATGGGACCCACTGGATGATCGACCGGCTGTGGCCGAGCCGGTCATGCAGCGGCATTTCCTGCGGGGGGGCCGATTCCACCGCGGTGCCATCCAGCAGTACTGGCAGCGCGTGGCCCAGTTCAAGGAGAAATTAGCCATTCTGGTGCATGTCACCGCGGGCAGCCGGCGCGGGCCCCGGAGTTGTTAAGCATTCAGCATTGCAACACGGCGAACAGTCAACGGCGGAATATATATATCGAGGATGGCATGGTGACATTTGTGACGGCATATCATAAGGGTTCCACGCTAGCAATGATGTGAAGATCATCCATCGATATGTGCCGCGGGAGGTCGGGGAGTTAGTAGTATGGTATATGTGGCTGGTGATGCCATTCATTAATCAGTTGGCTGCATGGCAGGCGGCGCAGGCGGCGCAGGGAAGTCAGGCAGCGCAGGGAAGTCACACCGTGCAGGGAAGTCAGGCGGCGCAGGGAAGTCACGCCGTGCAGGGAAGTCACACCGTGCAGGGAAGTCACGCTGTGCAGGGAAGTCACGCCGTGCAGGGAAGTCACGCCGTGCAGGGAAGTCACGCTGTGCAGGGAAGCCGGCCGCGCAGGGAAGTGACGCCGCGCAGGGGAGCCAGCCCGCGCAGGCATGGTTATGGGGCCCCGACCCCGGTACTGGCCGCGAATGGTCATCCGAGCGGTTCCGGGAGGCGTTGAAACGGGAAACCCACACCCGGCTAGGCACCGCCATCCATATCGCCGCATACCGGACATCGCCATTGGCATCAGCCGCTGATTTTTGCGGCCGTCCACCGCGTTCCCCCATAATATCCAGGAGGCCGAGCCGGCCCCAGCTGCCATGGATGCTGATGCCGAGGAGGCATGGATATTGAGCAGTGGATAGCCATATTACTGATTTACAGGCCGCCCATTCATCACATGTCGCCGGCATGGTATATGGCCGTGTCATGCAGGAACAGGCCGGCAGCACGGCCACGGCGGAGATGTTCCGGTTATCCAGCACGATTGGCATCAGTTTTTAGGGTATAGCGCCCGGGCCACCATCCATATTAGGCAAGCGCAAACGGGCCCCGTGGGAGGATGAGGCCGAGGTCAGCCGCATGGAACGCCGCCACCAGCTGGCCACCATGGATCTGGAGGCTGCCGCGCAGCGCATGACCGGCGGCCCGACATGCAGTTCCGGGGGGTGCAGGACCCGGCGATGCGGGCCATCCAGCGGGTGAGAGCCCGTGGTGGCGGTGATGCCCACGCGGTGGGGGAAGAGCATGCTGTTCATGGTGCCCGCATTCGCCGCCCCGGGGGCACCACCATCATCGTGGTGCCACTCGTCGCATTACGGGCTGATATGACCAGGCGCTGCCAGGAGCTCGGCATATCGTGTGTGCCATGGGAGAGCCGCGGCCCCCCGATGCGCATCCATCGTGTTGGTGACGCCTGAATCCGCGGTGAGCCCGATTTCCAGACGTTTTGAACCGGCTGCGGTGACCCGGCGGTTGGACCGGATTGTGATCGATGAATGCCATGTGGGTTGAATTCCCAGCACGATTTCGGCCCAGATGGCTCAGCTGGCGGTTGGTCCAGGCCCGCACCCAGATGGTATGGTTGACCGCCACGTTGCCCCCGAGCATGGAGGGCGAATTATGCCGGTGGATGAAGTATGACCGGGCCGCCGTGACCATATACCGGGCCGACCAGCCGGCTGAACGTGGTATACCGGTGTGTGGCGCCGGACATGACCGGGGTGGGCCGGGCCCATATCAGTGGATTGAGAGTGAGGCGGTGGTGGCATTCATTCAGGACCGCATCCAATGGGCTGCTGGGGGGAAGGTCATCATATATGCGAATATCATTGGGCAGGTGACGGCCATGGCGCGGGTGCTTGGGTGTGAGGCGTATTACAGTGAGCAGTTGGACAAGGCGGGTGCTGGCGCGGTTCATGGGGCCAGCCCGTGATCGCCGCACCAGCGCGTTAGGCATGGGGTGGACATCCCTAATATCCGCAGCATCATCATATTGGGACCCCACCGGATGTTACTGGATTACGCGTAGGAGAGTGGCCGGCTGGGCGAGATGGACAGCGCAGTGAGGCAATTATATCCAGCCAGCTGGGTGGGATGCCCTAGCTCCATGGATGGAGGGCGTCGCCCATGAGGACCAGGAGCGGGTTGCTGAGTATATGGGTGGTGAAGGCATTGGGTGCGCTGGGTCGTGTTAGATCAGTATGTTGGACGAGTGGTGGACGGGTATCAGCGGCGGTATTGCCAGGATGCGGATCCTGGGAGCAGATATGTGA